GCTCTTCTCATTTATTCTTAAATCAAGCCGACTGGGATAGAGATCGGAGGAGCTGACCGACTAAGCTTTGTTCCCCCCTCCTCTCTCTCATGTCTCACGCATTTGTTTGCTCCTTAGTCCACATAAAAATAAGTTAACTCGGCCACCACAGTAATAGAAGTTGCTACAATGTAGTACAGCAACTCACTCTGATGTACTTTTATTAGCCAGTTACTACAGTCCCGTCGAAAACTACGCATACCGGTTATCTTTTATTTGCTGTTACTGTAGGCGTCCGCTCGGTCCCTGCCTGACCAACGATGCTGTACTGCTGGCCAACCTGCAGGCCCCACTGCGTTATGGTCTCATCGACACTGTCATCTCCTCTTGCCTCTCCGTAGCCTCAACGACTCCCGGCAGCAGTGGGCTTACTGTCTGTAAGGCCCTACTGGGCTACCTACAGGAGCGCAAGTCCCAGCGTCTGGTCACTCACAGTGGCGAGACGCCCTGTTACACAATGCCCGGTGTAGGTGTTCATCCCTCTTCCCCCTCCCTCTCTCCATTTTTACAACTTTGTTCATTTATCTATTTTCCTGGTCTATACATACACCGGCTGTCCTAGGATGTCAACAATTTGTTTCTGAATATCTAGAATGCTGTTTATCAGCATCTTACCTCTCCACTCCGTTTAGTTGTTTTGGGTAAATAACTTTCTCTGTGTAACTTCTATTATTGCTTAATCATCCGCAGATGGCTAAGGGGTTGTATGCTCTATCTCTTTTGTTCACCCATCACCAATTCGTATTTTTCCGTTGGTCAAACACCAGGCGTGAATTCATTTTTAAAGTTGAGATTTAATTCGCACCGTTGTTGTTTTTTTTTCAACAACTGAGTTTTCATTTTAAATTGCCCAACTTATTTTGACCGATCCACAAAGACCTTTATTTTCGGTAGCGCTACCCTCCAAAAGGCAAGTCGTTTTACTTAGGGCCGCTGACTTAAACAGGTTTATGCAGCCTGTCATCATCATCTCCCACGTAAGTCAAAAGGGATTATCTTGGATTCTGCAGAAACCGTACACAGTATCTCTTTTTAGCTCGGAGGGGCACGGTTTCACACCCCCCGATCTTGTAATCGTCTCACGAACTGAGCATAGTCATTAATGTTGCATCATTTGATCCTGCTCGTATGCTTCTCCCAAGTCTTTGAAAGGGTCTATGGATGCTTGATGCTACAGCGTAGCCTCGGGGGACGAGCAGCTCATTCTACGAGCATTTCAGGTAAGGAGCGAGCCACTCACATTAAATTTGTTTTGATTTACGAACTTCCGCTCAGTTGTCAGTGCATGGGTCCTCGGTCGCCTGCAGCCCACCAGTGAAGTGGTGCAGTTTGATTGGCTACATTTGGCAAGACCAGGGCTTCAGGTGAGTAGCCTGGTGCTGGAAAGCATTAAATTCGTTAACCGAGGTTCCATTGTATTTTAATCATTCCGACGTGCCTCTCTTTCACTTCAGTCAATCATTTGTCGTTGAGAATTTCAAAGTACCCGTTGAATGCTCGCTCTTTAGGCTTTCACTTACCACTGTCCAAGAGACACTCGCCGAGTGAGGCATTTGAAACCACGCTCAAATCTGTCTGTTTGCGTCTACTGTCAGAGTTTCACTTGGATGTTTCGGGTTGTCTATGAAAAACTGACGAAGTGGTTTGTGTGCATTTTCAGTCGTCTGCCCCTCCCCTCATCCGCTTATTTGGGCAAGCTGCGCAGATCCGATCGATTCAAAATATAGTTGAGCGCGATCGGTCTATATCCTGAGGTAGTTGTTGAACTTGGGCCATTCATTCTTCACTCC